GTGCATTTGAGAATGTATAAGTATTTATGAATGTAAGCAACAGCAACAATTAAAACACACTCTGGTATGTGGTTGAAATTACATAATTCTTTTGACACAATTTGAAACACAAAATAAGAGCCTGAGCGGTATATGAAATCTGAAGAAGAAGAAGAAGAAGGGAAAGGAAGACAATTATGTTTTCACACACAGTATATAGAGCAATATATATATATATATACGCATAGTAGAGCGGTAAGAATTGCACTTAATTACCAACGAAGATTTTTTTCATTTTTCCATTTTATTCTGAACAACAATTTAGTGAACAGGAGCAGCAAGTAATGATATAAGTAATAAATGCAAGTGTATGCAAAGCGATATAAATATTTATTTAATTTAATGTAAAATGCAAGTGTGATTCACGCAAACAAATGCTTACAGCCACACAACTCCACGGCTCACTGCACTAGTGGACTGAACTGAACTAATTAAAAAAAAAAAACAAAATGTAAAAATACCATAAAAATAAATAAAATTTGCTGACACTGGAACTGGAACGAAATTTCTCGTAAAATATGTACGTTACGTATTGGACTCATTAAAACAAAAAAAACAAAAAAAATAAATAAATAAATAAATAAATAAATATATAAATAAATAAAAATAAAAAAAAAAAAATAAAGCAGAAACGTACTCTGTCCCAGACAAACACGCATGTATCCAGTTTGCCGTTTTTTCAGCGCTGGTCGCTATCACTATTTATTGTTGCTTTAATTTTATTTCATATATTTCTTTGTCGTTTTGTTCTCTTGCAGCTAGCTCTACACTTTATTATTGTATTATTACATAGTTTTAATATTGGTCTTGTTGCTATCTTATTAGATAAAAGTTAAAACCCAATTAAAATAAATATTAATAAAAAAGCATTACATCTAAAAGGCAAAATACCTGAAACAATAAATACAAAAAGAACGAGAAGAGTAAATCTGTAATTGCCTTAAGAAAAGTTTTGAAAACCCAACAGATTAGATGTTAAGTTATTGATCACTCCTTTGAAATGTAATTTTGTTAATAATATAAGTTAAAGAAATTTAAAATAAATTGAGTTAAATATTTAAATCATTATCAGTCATATGCTCATAAAACCAAAAAAAAAAAAAAAAAAAAGAAAAATAAAAAACAAATTATGGCTTTTTCCTGTCAGACACCGAAAAGTAACTTCTTCTTGTCACTGTCTTGGCTCTTGGAAATGAACATGAAAAGTAAGCAAATCATGTTCACTTGAAGGCCCTGCGTAACCAGCATATCAATATTACCGATATTTTAGTAATCCAATGGAAACTATTTTCCCTTCAAGCTCTTGTACAGCTCCGTTCACACTTTGTACCAAGATTCTCATCATTATCCGTTAGAGCTGATAATAAGTATTCAAGAGTTTTCGCGTTTCCTTCCGTAGATCGATGTGCTTATGGCTTGACGAAGTCCTCTTTCAAACTGAATGAGTACAAGGGCGCAATTTCAAATTAATTTCTCAAAAATCAATTGATTTATTTATATGTTTGCAAATACAAAATATGATATATTGAATTGATCAGATATATATTTAGAGTCCTGGCTATTAAAAATTATGATAAATCTGATAACCGAAATAACCGATCTTTTGGCAATGTGTGCTGGGGTTTTCTTTTATTGTTAAATGAGGTTTCTTCACCTCTCTTCAAGGAGAGTAGCTAAGACTGCAGCTCACGTGGACTTGCTATTCTAAAGTCTGTTATTACGTTACCTTCTGGGAGCATAAGTAACATAACTGTAATTGATTTTAATATTTCTTTAGAAGTATTGCGAAGCAAAGTATCTTGCGAAGCGAAAAATTCCTTTTTTAGACTCTTAACCTTGACTTTTGGAACATAACGTTTGCCTTTTTTCATTTATTTATTTTGATTTTGCTTATTGCAGATCGATGTTTTCTGTTACGCCAGTAATCTATTAGTTCAGAGGACATTTAGATATCATTAATAGCACTTATCGTGTTTTGCAAAAAAAAAAAAAAAAGCTTTAGACATGAACTTATTCTTTGACGTCACGACTGCTTTAATGAATAATAGTTTCTGCTTTCCTGGTATAAATTTTGTAAGAGGCAATTATTTCACCTCCTGACTGAGCTGACGATATCTTTAAGTCTTAAGCTAAGGCATTGTGAGATTGTGTTTGATGTTTTTTTTTTTTTTTTCGCGCTCTATAACGTTCTTCTATTTTCGGGAGAAGCTCAGGTATACGGATGAAATAGCAAATATAAAATATGATGGTCGCGCTCTTTAAAATGATCAGCAAGGCCCGTCGAAAGCTTGAAGAAAACTATACATATTCCAGTTTAGGAAAATATATTGATTGGGTCCCACTCTACATACAAGAAATTATGAGGAAACTTGAAACTCTCTGAGCAGATAGATGCCGTGCGCTGAAGGTAAATATAAAAGCGATATATCGCAAGTAAATGAAATCTTTATTATACTGTCAATATTTTGAACGTGCGACTACTATCCAATGACCCGGAACAAGCTGCAGATGAAATGTAATAGCAGTAAATAGATAGGAAATGAATCAAGGGTATGCAAAATTAGCGCTGAGTAGAAAAAGGTTTTTCTTCGCTTATTTTTCACTTATTTCGCTTTATTTAAGAACAAACGTGCCCAGTGGTATATAATAATAAAATCTCGTTTTCAGCCACTCACGAGCTGTGTGTAAGCTCAGCACACAAAAAGAAAATAACTCTAAAATGCAAATGCAAAAACAACAAAAATTTATGCTTCTTTGCTACATGCATTACCAAGAAATCTCTGCAGAGAGCAGTGCTTTCTAATATAGACACAAATGTACATCTTTTCACATATGCACATGCATTCTTGTTCGCTTTATCTTATGAGCATATGAGTTCAAACAATAAAATAATTTATATCTTAAATATAAAATTTAAAAAAAAAAAAAAAAAAAAAAAAACACTGAAACATTCTTTAATTTTTGTTTTTTGTTCAAAAATTTAAATTTTCCTATTCGTTGGTATGGGTTCGAGAATTTATACTTTAACGCGTGTACGTGTATCAATGCGATTATAGCATTCATCTACAAACATACTCATGGACTGTACATATGTGAACGATTGTACGAACTATATATATTAATAAAATTTAATGTCTTAAAGTTGCTCTAATGCTATCGATTAATCCTTTTAAACTTAACATCTGAGGATACGGGCATGTTTTTCATTTCGCCTGCAAGATCTAGAAATACACATCAGGGATATTATAATTTTAAGATGTTTCTATTGTTTAGTATTGAGATTCAAACTCAATAGCAAATGGGGTAGAAAGTTATTACGTAATGCATGCAACTAAATGAACACATATTATAATCTAGTCGTTCACGGATACCGGAAAATCTTAAATACTTGGATAGGCAAATACGGTTGATTAGTGCGTCTGTAGAATCTAACTAAGCGAGCATTTTGATAAAAATGAGATTTACTCCCTCGTATTTGATGATAGTCATGATCCTCAGACATGACTAATGCGTTTCGGATAAATATTCGATTAGCTATTACGTTTTATTTATAAAAACGATTTCATTCACACAAATCGGCTGTGAAATTATATACATATATATATATATATATATATATATATGTATTTAGTTCAATAAGAACATATTACGAATGTTTATATGAAGTGATGATCAATATAATATCGCGCTTAAATACTTGGACTTTAGGTAACAATTTGGTGGGAAATTAAACGTAAGGATTTACGTGTGTATTCATTAAATTTAAATTATGTTCAGATTTCCATCAATAAGATCGTGAATGGGAGTCTACTGAAAATGTTTTTAGCTTTTGACAATGTATTTTCGTCAATAACATACAATTTGGAATACATATATGATAAATGATATCAATTTGAAGTTGCATATTTACTGATAACTTATACGACGTGTGTGTTCACACTTTGTATGGTCGGTGTCATAGGTGGCTTGAATTAAAAGTTTTCCATGTCATATACTATATGTGATGTAAATGCACTCCGGCATTAAGAGAGAATTTGGATGTGTCGTAAAAATCAGTGCAGAAAATGTGGTTACAAAAGTCCCAAAATATACGTTTATAACGTTTCCGGTTTTATGATTTTTATACTTTTTATTTTTCTCATTTGCGTTAGAAAAAGAACACAAAGTATAAAGTTGAGGGTGTGACAGAGAACACGTATAAATATTACGTTCGCTCACACACTCACCCACTCACAGAGACAGTGCCGGTGAACTGCGTTATATATTTGAAAGAAATACAAATAAAGAAGGGCAAGGTGAGTAGAGCAAATGCCAGGTAACAAACTTTACCTACTAACCAACCTAACATAGCACATATGTAAAATAGGCGAGCGCATATATGCATGCATGTATGTATATATATATCTATCTATATATGTATATATGCATGTATGTATGTATGTATTCATGTATGTATTTATGTATGTATGTAGTCATGTATAGATGTGTGCTTGTATATGCATACGTGAATGTATTTAAAGATTTATGTTTGCTTTGAATGTATTAGTATTACTTGTGTGTCGACGTTAACAGTCAGGCTTGGCTAAGTAAATGCCTTGGATTTTTAAACAACAAAAAACAAATGAAAACAAAAAAAAAAAAATAAAAATTTGAATAAAAATGCGACTATAAAAAAGCTGGCACAGATCCTTTCATTTTATTCACTCTTTCCTACTTTTCTTTTTTAAACAGCAACCCACACATTCATACAAAAGCACTCACCGCAATGCACACTCACTTACCATTTTCTATTTATATTGCTGCTCAAGTACTCTAAGCTGGATTTATTCTATGTGTTATACCATTATTATTATGTTAGCATGTGTGTATGTATATTTATATATATATATATATATATATATGCGTGTATATAGAAAAAGAGCAACTATATGTTTAAGTACTCAGGCTTAAAACTCACTTACCTAATGGAATTTTCTCGGTTAATGATGGTTGAGCCTGCACACCCATCATCAGGCCAAAGTGACGTGTGTTAGCCGCCGCGCTGATGCCACTGCCGATGCCGAGGCTGCTGCTTCTGCTGTTGGTGATGGTGGTGTAACTGATCCATGAGTTGGCGAATGTTATCCATAAAAATACGAAAAATCTTAATCCCGAAGGCATTTTGTTAATGCTTCTCTTGTTTGTTAGCGGCGGCGGCTGCTTTTGTAAGGAAAAAGAGCAAAAAGCTTACGTTGCTGCCACACCTTTTTATTTGTTAGGACAACACGTTTTTGTAAAGGTAAATAAATGGTGACAAGTACTTCACTCTTTCTGTCTATCTGTCTGTGTGGTTCGTTAGTTGGTTACTTTTGCTTTTTTTTGTTTTTTTTTTGTTTTTTTGCTTTTTGTTTTAAAAGTTGACAAAAAAAAGTAGTCCGCACACCATTCGCTCTTGCGCGTCACCTGCTTATTTACACATTTAACAGTAATGCAATGCAATGCAATGTGCCTGTGACGTAGATTCGTTTTATGTTATGCTTACTTAGATTTTAATGATGCGTTGTTTGTTTGCTTTTTGCTTTATTTTGTTTTTAGTCTTTACGTTTTAAAGTTACTTTTTTTCCTTTAATTTCATTTGATTTTTCTTCAATTTAATTCATTTTGATTTATTGTATTCTTTAATTGTTTAAATTCAATTGATTATACACTTACTTATGTTTTTTGATTAATTTTTTGATTTTTTTTGATTATTTTTTTTATTATTATTTTGTTATTTTTTTTTTTTTAATTTTTTTTATTTATTTTTTTTTTTTTTAGTTATTTTGATTTGATATAATTTCTTTGTTTGATATATTGCAGGTCGACCATATGGTATAAGGCGACAACTGAACAGTACTCACTATACCTGAATAGCAGTAGTCTATGATTTAAATTTGTTCGGTTTGTTGCACGTGTCACTTGCTCCTATTTTACACATATATATCGATAAATGTTATGTACACGCACGCCTGAATTCACTTACTAACTACGGCATACATACGTGTACGTATAAATGCAATAAGAAAAATCCATTGTTGTCTATGTTGTTTTTGTTGGTGCTGTAGCTGTTATTGTTCTTGTATTTTATTTCATGTTTTCAATTATATCAACACTGTCCCCAAAGTAAAGCAGTCGATAGTTAAATGGGAAGATGTACAGGCAGCATTTTACTAAAGACCGGTTGCATAAACGTAAAGAAGTACAGGTATATGCATACATACATATGTATGATGTGCAGTGCTTTTCTGCATGAGGTCTTTGGTAAATGTGTGTAGCAAACTAGTGAGCTGTAAAACAAGTATGTAGATATGTGTTTACGTATTGTAAATATATGTATATATTTATAACATATATTATATATATATATATATATATATTTATATATAATATGCTATTACATATGCACATTTACAATACACAGATTCCATGTCACTATGAGTTACATTAGATTCTTAGAAGTCGTCGATTGTTTTGCTGAAAATTGTTACTAAAGTCATGTCAGTTAGTTGGCTTCTGTTGTAGTCCTTGATTTTTATTGCTTCTCTTAATTTATTTATTTATTTTTCTTCTCCTTTTTTTCTGCTCTTATTGATGTTATAATTCAATTAAAATACATCTTAAACTTAGTTAAGTTCTTTCCAAGAAATTTTTTCTTACTTTTGCGAAATGTTACTGATGTCAGTTTGTTTGGTTACTTTGTCATCAAAAATTTTTAGACTTTTTTACGAAACTAAGAAACAGTAAACCGGAAGTAAAATGTTTTATTTCTTTTATAAATAAAATCGAGAAAAAATTTCCACTCAACCGCAAAAATATTTATAAAAAGGAAAGGTGAAGAACTAAAGTAACACAATAAGGACTTTATACATACATTGATCTTTTTTTTTTTTTTTTCTTTTGAAAAATCATTCAGAGATATCACATGTTAGCGGTATGTGAGAAGTATGATAGGAGGAAGAGATATGAAGGTGATGGCCGTTATCTAGCGGCAGGGCGTGCAATCGTCTTTACCCACTAGTGGGAAAGTGTGCTTTTGGGAAATGTTACGTTCTTATCTACTGTCCGCTTCCGCTTTAATAGAAATAGAATAATATAATAAATAAGTAATAAAAAATAAAAAAACAAAAAATTATCATCTACAGAACAATAATTTGTCAACGTTTGTAGACATTGAAACTATGCAAAGATAAGATTATTCGTTGATGTTCGTTACAATCAACGAACAAGATGATGTACCTCAACATGAATCGACTTTTAAAGGTCATAAGTACATAATTGTTTTAATGAAATTATATGCAGTTGTATGTCCGTTTGTTAAAGTCTCTAAAGTGATTTTAATGGCTGCAGCAGGCATTGTGATCAAGAAAAAAAAAAAAAAAAAATATTAAATTATGTACCACATAAAGATCAGTAGTGCAGTTAAAATACATGTTTATATGAAATAATTGAAAAACAATGAATAACGAAAAGTTTAGCAAATAAAAAAAGAAAAAAAAAAAAACCGATTGCATCATTGATTTAAAATTTAATTTAGAGTCATAGTAACCTAAGACCATATAATTGCCCATATTATATGTATGGAAAGGACTTGCCGCTATTCGCTATAGAAGTTGCTTATCAACGTTGCAACGTGAACGATGACTATGTAGAGAGAAAAACAACTGCGCTCTACCAAAGTGAATGAATGGACTTCGTTATGGGTTCTCTCAAATTCAATTCTTTTAGCTGAAACGCCGCTAGTAATTTTCCTCACAGAAGCATACCGATAAAGAGCTCTTTTTGCAGACTATAATGTGTCCCTCTCCTATAATTGTATGTCATATTTGGTTACTAAGTTTAAGCTAAGTAAGAGTTTAACTCCACACATGCACACACCGTGTAAGCAATTTTCATATAAAGATCGACGCTGGAAATGGTTTTAAAGGGTGTGGATGTCTCACAGAAAGCAAAATAAGATCGCAGTAGAACGGATGATAAGAAAAGCGACGAGGCAGTTTAATATGCATCACGCGCCAGCAATTATACCCATGCGATTAATAAATTTATATTTGTCTTCTAAATTGCGTTCTCCTATACTTATCAACGAGGTTGGATACAATAACTAAATTGGAGTATCAAAAATTTCATAATGCATATGTATTTTTGATAATGGTAGCATCCCGATTCAACTTAACTTTGCTCGTGCCTTGTCTCTTTATGTGTTTCTCGATTTTCTGTCGCTTGTTGTCATCGAATGCTAGTTAAAGCAGCTCTAAATATTAAAACTTGTTGTGTACAATAATCCGGGTGTCAACCAATGATCACATCGAACGCACGTCGAACTCAAGTCGAAAATGTGCAGACATGTCTAATTTACAGTATGTCCGTCTGTCCGCCTGTGTAATGTCTGTCTTAAACAGCTTAGCTTGGTCACAAGAATGACGCTATTGACGTCAAATGTGGCAGAAACATTGGAAGTTATTGTACGTAGGGTTGTATTGAAAATGGGCAAAATCGGTCGATGGGTACACGCCTACAGTATTACGCAAACTGGGAACACATCTATTTTTCAAAGGGTTCAGAAACAGGTTTTTTGATCATTACTCATAAACTACAAAAAATAAATCTATAAAAATTTAAATATCGTACAGCGATGTTGTACTGGCTCCACAAAAATTGGCCATATCTCCCCAATTTTATACTTGATCATAATATCACTTTTCTCCAATACCAATAATGCATAGAAGCCAGCTTCAAATTCAGCCAGTTTCAAAGTCGGAATGCACCTAAGCATGTCCGTCCGTTCATCTGTCCATCTATCCGTCCGTAACTGTGTAGTATATATGGTAAATATTTTCCTGGTCGATTTCCTGGAAATAAACTTATGGCCTATAAACTTGCAATAGAATTTAAGTTACATGCGTATGTAACAAAAACATGAAAAGTGAAGTCTTTCGCTTTCTCTCGCTCTTGATCGTTGCTCGTAAATTACAACAGGTGCTTCGTAGAAGTGTCCACAAAATTATTCTACAAAAATAGAATAATTGTGATGGGTATAAAAAAATTTGGTCAAAACCGAATATAATTTTCTTACTTCCTTTATTCATTACCATCATTCATGCGGGTGAGCATTAAAAAATTTTTTTAAAGCTAAAATATTTCGTATATTTCTTTCTAATAATGTTTTCGTTCGGGTTTTTGACTGCTCCGACCCATTACGTGTCAATGAAAAAAGTTTTAATCAAAATTTTGCAAAGCTTAGTGCTTATGCTAATATTCTGCCTATCGCAAGTGGAGTAGAGTTTTCAAGGCCAATTGCCTTAGATGCTAGTATTTTTAACTTTTGGTCTCAGAATTTATTTCTCTGTTAAGATAAATTCATCTGGATATCAAATGAATGCAATTTAAAGTTTTTACCCCTAATGACTTGCGGGCAGGTCTCGTGTGCTGAGCTTTTGGCTGATAAAGTGCTCTTCGTACTCTCTTCTAGAATTGCTTGGAGTAATCTTAAGCATGTTTTTCAGACTTCATGGCATTCCTTCTCAAAGCTCCCTCATTAAACGCTATTTATTAAACTAATACTTTTTGCAACATCTTTGATCAAGGTCCACTTTTTTAAAAATGCCGATAAAAGTAAGAAAAAAAAGAGAAAAACTAAAATGTCATGAGTGCCACACATCACTGAATTAATGCAATTCGAATATAAGATTAAATGGGGATCTTTTGAAGAGTAAATGAAAAGATCGCGAATAAAAGATTGCTTCGATCATATCACGTCATGTGATGCACTGTGAAGAAAAAGGGTAAACTTACTCATCAGAAAGTTTTTCAGACACTCGCGATCGTTTTGAGTACGGACTATAAAGGAACAAGAAACTTATATGCGGACTATGGCTTGCCCAGCAGGACGATATATATTTTAATTGTGCAATGCTTAAAGCTGAAGTCACGACCATACAGTTTGCTTACTTGTTTAATAGTATCGTGTTTTTTGTTGTTTTGTTAATAAATGTTGTCGGCTTGTTAGCGGTGAGCTACTCCAGGAACCGTTGTTGACATTGTATCTACAAACATTTGTTTTTCCCAATGTTTTCATAAGTTTTTAGTTAATTTTTTCTTTTTTTTTTTTTTTCTAGCTGCTGTTGATTGCTTTTTATATATATTTTTTTATTTTATTTATATATATATATATATATATATATATAAATATATATATGTAAGTCGATTGTTTTATGAATTCGAATAATGCATTCGATCTATTTTTATGCGTTTTTCTTTTTTTTTTTTCATTTTTTGTTTAACACAATGTTTGCGTTTGATTTGGCAATTAATTCGTGCATAGTCTCTAGTTTACATGCATGAATGAATGCTTGTTTTTCGCTTGGTTTTGTTTATTTTTAATTAGTTTGCTTAAATTATCCCATTATTATCATTATCATTACTATCATTATATATGTTATGTATAATGTTGACAATGTGTCGGCATTTGTTTTAGATCTATTTAACCTTCATTTTTGTTTTGCTTTATTTTGTTTTTATTTTTTGCTTTTTTATTATCATTATTATTATTTTTGATTGTATAGAAATTTGTAGCATTTTTTTAAATGTTTATTATTTTGTTTTGTTAATTATTTTGACTTTAATTTGCTTAACTTGCTGTAGTATTATTTTTTCATCTTTTTTTTTTTTTGTTTTTGGTTTTTTCCTTTTGTTTGTAAACGTTAAACATTTGAATTGAGCAATAGGAGAGACATGTTGCACAGAAATTTTCTATGTTAACATAGCCAACGACAAATTATTTGTAGTATAGCTGGTTAGTTCGAAATTGTGGATATTGTTTAAAATAGTTTATTATTCTAAAAAATGTGTACTAAAAATGCAATAAAAAAAAATAGAAAAAGGATTGTCTTTTTTTTACCAAGCACTGGCTGGCATTAAGCGTACATTACAAAAATGTCCCCTAAGCCTAATGCATGGGGATCGTTTACTAAGCTAATAGTTATTGAGAATCAAATTTGAATTCATATATAATATGCTCACTATAGTATATCAATTTTATAAAATGTGAAAGGTTTTGTTTTAAGAACATCATAATAATAATCTTTTGTGTGCGAGTACATAATTACTTAAATACTAAAAATATTTTTGAAATAAATTTACATTACATTTCAACATATACATTCGCATGGCTGGTCTTTTGAAAATCAGGAGCATTATATAAATGCGTGTCTATATATATATATATATATTTAAGCGAGCATTTGCAAAAATAGTTAATGCATTGATAAATAGACTTATAAGCAAACAAGCACAGATAAACTAACACATGCATGCACGCACTCACAATTATATGTGATATGTGCGTAAGATTATTGATAGTTTTTCCTTTTTTTTTTTTTTTTTTTGTTTTATATTCGTATGAACAATTACTTCCTAATGCCAAGTAATTAAATTTAAACCACATTTTCAAGTAGTCAGTGATAACATATCTGCTTTGGAGAATGTAATTCTTCTCACCTCTTTCGGTATGTTTGTGTGTATTAAATCTTTACAGAAGAAAAAAAAAAAAAAAGTCAATAGAATTTCTTAAGTGTTTAACTTAAGCAATAAGCGTGTGATCACAGTACCATGCCAAAGGATTGAAAACCAAGTGCTATTACGAAATAATAAATGAAGTCAAGAAGTGTACAGTCCTTAAGGGCAATCACTTGAATTTATCTTTAATTTAAAAGTAACTAAACGTAAACGTAGTGAAAAGATGAATTAAAACTAAAATAAAAAAAAAAAAGCAGCAAATTAGACGCAGATTGTCGCAATTCTCAAGAACAATGTAAAGCCTTTTGATCTATGGCAAGTGCGATGAAATAAAGAAAGGAAGACATAGAGAAAAAAACCTGTTGTTTCTTTTAAAATTCTCCAATGCTTCGCTACCACTTCAATCCTTCTATTATTCGTTAAAGACAGAGAAACGCGTCATTTGGTTTCTAAACCATTGAGAAAATCTTGAAAAAAATATCGTTTGTTTTCTTTCTCTTCTTGACGGTAGCAAAATCCCCAGACGAATGAAAATTTCATATTTGAGTTACGTCCACGTCTGTAGATATAGTAATCAATAGCCGATATACGTCGATTATACTAAGCGAGAGTGGGACTTACATGCTGAAGTAAACATTTCAACACATTTTCCTCACTTTTTTTTCGGTCTCAGCCGCCTAGGCGTGCTTTTCATTATTCGCTTGAGGAGAATAACGTATTAAAAGAGATGACTTATTTACGAAATGATTTTGCTTTCTATGTCACCAAAGCTGTGTGTGGTTCAAAAATCAACTCCCAATTGCAGTTGCGAAAATTGAATTAATTGGGGATAATTGAATTCATCTGGCAATCTTAAATATCATGATTTGAAAGCAATTTCTCGAGTTTTAATTTAATACATAAATATATTTAATAGATATTATGAAAGAATTTTTATTATAACATCAATTACATCATCAATTACAGTCAAATTGTAATTAGCAATATGATAGCATTAAAGTTTGTTACTTATTGTGCGCTGTGTGAAAAATGTCGAGGCGCTGAGAAAAATTGTGAAGCTAAAAGAAGAAAAACAAATATGTTTGCCTCATCAATTTCATTTCGGCATTACGATCAAGAACTTGGTATTTAAGATGAAGAGGCATCAAACTGGCTAAGAGTTTCGTCTTGCACAAGCAACAAAAGCGTTCAGAAATGTGATATACAAATGTAGACATTCTCGATATACGTTCATGTAAAAATCGGAACTTCTTCTAAAAGATCGCTCCATACTGTCTAAATATGCTATGTATGACGAAAAAACTAACACGAATTTTAGGTGAAAATCTTGATCCAGTCCAGTCTCTGCTTATAGCAACCAAAAAGGAATTTTTTTAAAAGCCTTTTCGCCCTTTGAAGAATTTTGCAGTTGACGGTAAACATGATGTGCATCACAGCAGCAGTGCAAAGAAATTAAAGTGCCTGTCTTTTTTCATATAAATGTAGATAGAACTAGTTGCGGGCACGGCTATGATAAGGACGGGCTGTTGGTAGAGAGAGAGAGAAAGAGAGAGAGAGAGAGAGAGAGAGAGGTGGAGAAAGGGAGTAGTATATGTGAACGTTCAACCTACAAATAGAAATCTCAGGTGTCGTGGGGAACACAACTGCGGGTAGGTTCCTCCATTTCTAAGGATAATCGAATTAATGTTTCTCTACTTTTTTTGCTACATAAACTTATTTCCTAACGGGTTTTTTAGTGCGTTATTATACGCACAATATTATCATATATTTTTCAGATAGGGTCTACAATGCAATGTATAAAACTGATTCGTTTTAATTGCCGTTTAATTTTGATTTTCTATTCGTTATGTGAAAAAATAGACAAAAACAGAAAAGATTTATAAAATCTTTAAATATTCGTTTACTCGATGAGTTTGTAAAAGCTTTAAACGCGCTTGCTTCCTTTCTTGTGTTTACTTATTCTAAAATTGGGCAAAAGATAAAACCAATCGTCTTAATGTTGACATTTCATCTAATGGAATTACTAACGAATGCTTTAATGGATTTTTAAGTTTTATTTATTAAATTTACAATCAGTCGGATATTGCCTCTTAAAAGCAAAATAATTAATAAGAAATTGCAAGTTTGCTCTTAAAAATGAAATCAATGCTTTGCTTCAATACGAAACTAGAAAGGAGAAGCGATTTTTGTAGTCGCCTCGAGAACCTCATTGCACCACGATATCCGTAGAGAAAAACATAGTGACTTACGTTCCTGAGTAAGCAAGTTAATGTTGCATATTCTGATCGGAATGAATTGTAACAACAAAATTATACTCATACTTAACACTGTTCTATAAGCGAAAGAAATAAAAAAAACTCTGAGGAATAAAATAGACCAATCGATTTCGAGTGGCGCCATATAGATGGGAGATTGATGTACGTTTTTTTTGCTCTTGTATTCCAATCTAATTCTATAAAATCCAAGCTTTTACGGCAAATAATTTTATTTTATCTGTTTACCGATCTATTGGTAGAATTAAGAAACTTACAGACTACCAAAGGGATACTTCTTATCAAAGCTGCGGCCGAGCAACTAAATATGTGAATTACGAGACACATATGAAATAAATTCTCTGCTCATTTATAGCACCTTAAATATGCGGCTACCAAATTGTAATAAATGACGAGAAAAAATGAAAATTCCCCATGAAATATGCTCGGATTTTTTCTAATCAGCACATCAAGTGAACGAGATGCTAGACACAAAAACCCGATCTGCTTATTTATGCATAAGACATAAACATAAATATAATTTTTATACTTTTCAATCGAGAAACGCCTTGAGTATCATAAACTCTCGCAATCAAAATGTTATTATTATCATTTTTTTATTTGCTTTTCAGTATCAATAAATTTCATGTTTAAAAAAAAAAAAACAAAACAGTACAGTACAGCACAGACCGACTGCTCCATTACTAGAGCAGTCATAGAGAGAATCATTTCTTTAGCTGTTCTAGCTAAACGTTTATGAATGTATTAACATATTGCTATCTGTTGATTTCTTGTCAAACATGTGTCTTTTCTATATTTCTCCAGATATTAGGAAATATGAAAACAAAGATATAAGATAAGCAACATATGAAATGAGAAGACTTGTTTGCTCATCTCCTTGCATTGACAACATGGATTAGTGCGAATTTCATGCGGATACCGTATAATCTAAATATGTACTTTGCGAGAGGGGTAAAGTTTCTAAGTGGATTGATTTCTCAAGGCCTCAAAAGTGAACATTGAAAATGAGTTAGTTACGTTTGCTCCCAAGTGCCTGCATAGCTGTGAAAATGCGGAAACAATTTGGAGGGTAAACAAAAGGTCATATTCCAATTTCGTGTCAATAACTTATGTATTTACATTTTGTCGAGCCATTGAGTAAATGTCCTTCGTTCCAAATGTCTTTATTCCCAATTAGCAAGAAAATGAATGAATGATCTCGATAACGATAACTTTTTATTGGAACGTATCCAATATTCGCCCAAGAACGAATAGAATTATATTAGTTGTTAGAGGTATGTTAAATATTTTGCACCATTGTGCTCGGAATTGTATCAACAATAGCGGGCTTCCGGACATCTTTTTTATGTGCGACAACTTGAGCTTGTATTATGTAGTATAATAATGGTAAATATAATGTATAGCGTAACACACGCCAACCACTTTCAAATATAGCCTACTTGCGGGTATTTGTTTTCCTATCGCCACACAAATAAATGTACGTGTTTTCATGAAGCGGAAAGCAAGCCTTGTTAACTATAAATTCTATGTTAAGCACAAAAATTTCACAAAAAATAGTTTAGTTTGATTTAATGGGAATGTAAGAAATAAAAACGGAATTTGAAAGTAGAAACAACTACTGCACCGCTTAATTGTCGCTATCACACTTAAACCGCTCAGGTGCTATGAATTTATGCCGGTATGATTTAAAATTTTTTTTTTTTTCTTTCTTTTTTAATAATCGAAAGCACAAAAGCAATAGTTTAAATGCCCGCCTGTGTTTATATAAAAAAAAAAACGAAAAAACAAAAAAAAAAAAGATGTGAACATTTATACTGTAATGCATGAAGACGTCTTTCTTCTTCTCTTTTATTATCTCCGAATTGTCTCCTCTCTCGCCAAGTGCGTGTGTTGCGTTCACAAGTTTGACTTTCACTTTAACCAACACACTGCCACATTGCAATCATAACATTTTCAGGAATTATATAAAATACACACGCATACATACTGGCAGCTGTATGTTGCTGGCACTACTATTTATGTTGTTGCTCTTAATGTTGTTGCTGTTATTGCTGGAGTAATTATTAAAATTTTATCCATTTCCTTAAACCACTTTGCTTGTACTTTCCATAATCTGTACGCATGTAATGAAGAAATTTATTATAATTTTTTATGTGCCGATGTGTATGCCCGTACGTACGCATGTAAGGACTTTAGGTCTGTTGCTTATGTTTACTGGACTCATTGTGCGTATTAAATGCACATTTAATTTTAAATAACACTTTAGATGTAAAGAAAAACAAAAAAAAAAAACAACAAAAATACTTTCATCAAAATTGTTGAGTTTTTCGAAATACTTTCAATTTCCGGACGTTAAAAAAATAATATGAAAAACATTTCCTTAACGAATTTCACTTGATTACTTGGTACTGCTTAGCAATGTATTTTCTTTTATTTGAAATATGCATTTGCCTTTATGTGTCTGTTCAAATGTGTGAGAGTAGAAAAATTGAAATTCAACTTAAGAGTTTGATACGCGTTTCCGTATGATCGACCGTTACAGTAGACGTTCTAATAAGTACTAAAATTATCTTAGAATCGTAACGCTACTTAAACCCCAAAACAAAAATTTTATCATTGTTCGACCATGAGCAACTGTAGAATTTTAAGTGGCAGCAGCGGCAGCATCGCTCAACAAATCGTAAAAGCCGAAGCGTCTGCAAATGCATGTAAACGAACATCCTGCCTCCACTTACTACTATCACTTATCTCTATATAAATATTAACAAACTATGCCGTCCGTGTATGTAACTTGTAAAAACTCTCCACACGCGTTGCTCTATTTACAATTTACAACAGACAGTTACGTTATGTGATGTCGCATCAAAAGAACATTGTCCTCTGGCCCTGCAACATCTAAATGTGTAAACGAATCCCTTGTACACTCGCATACAGCATCACAGCCAGAAACCATCAGATGTGCAAGTACAAGTATAATCAAATACTCTCTCTCTCTCTCTCTCTCTCTCTCCCATTCTCTGTCTCTCATCGCGAAAGTACTAAATTGACAAATTTTTGTACGCATGGTTTCTCTTTTTCCATACATTGCTGAGCAATTGAATGAGCACAATTTTTCTTCCATAGAAAAATTTCTGTTAGAATCCTTAAGATATTAAAACAAAAGAAAGAAAGAAAGAAGAAAAGCTTCGAAAACGAATTGTTATATCAGCTAATACGAAGCCTTATAAAAGTCCATTCAAATTTCTGAAGTTTAGAAGGTTCCACAATTCCTACGACAGATGAGTAAATGGACGAATGTTTGCATCAATACATGTCAGTACGAACTTTTTCAATAAATTAGCCAGATATTGCTCTGTCTTCAACTGTCTTATTCAAAAGCAGGATTGCTACTCCCAAAGTGGGTATTAGTTGTGGCCATGTTTATATATTATTTTCTCAAGAGATATGCGCCAAATTCTATTGCGACCATAATCGTGACATGCTGACACCACATACTTTAGGGTCCTTGTCAAAATATGTCAATATTCTCGTTAAAGAAAAAGGCATTTAAGATATCCTTTGTCGCATTTCAAAGTTTCTTCTTGTTTTGCATTTTAATTTGTTTACAAAATCTTCGTATTAATAATAATCAGAATGAGTGCATTGTAATGCGCATTGGATTCGCTTGCTTTGGTACCACGCGATAGGCTATTGCCCTTATTTGCACTGGCATAGTGCGAAATACTAATTTGTGTACGTGAACTATACTTGTTGATGTTGTAGCAATGTTTGAGATGAGCATCGAAAGCGGGTTTAATTCGCTTGAAGACTACATCGCAAGATAAGCTTTCTAAATCTGAATTCAACTAAGCTCTTCGCGTATTTATCAGATATTGTAAAATAATATATTTCGTAATCAAATTGGATTTCTTAATTACCCGACAGTGTATGTTGTCCCTGTAACTAATATATCAGATTTACTCTCTTGTTTGCCTCTCTTTGGAGAGTTTCTGTATTTTGGGTATGGACACATACACCTACAGGTTACGTTAAGTTTGGTCATGTAAATGTTACTGACCTAGTAACCGTTTTCAAGTTTATTCATAATACTCGACCATCGCATCCATATGTTCTATTTGGGTACAAATATGTATATATATATATATATATATATATATACATATATACATATACATATATATATATATATATATATATATATATATATATATAGTGATATGTTGGGGGAACTCTTCTTGTCCTGTTATCCATTTTAGAAGAAAAGCAAGTAACGAGACTAAAATTTAGTACTTGCGAAGCCAAAATAGAGAATGATTTGTTAATTTCAATGTTAGAGGGTAGAAATAATTTTGGAAACCAATGGTCTTGATGTTCATTTAATATAGCGGTTGAGACTATATGTAATTTAAGGAGCAAAGACAATAGGCAGAATGAAAACATATTGTTAGTTGAGGAGAATTTTTCAAAATGTAAACTCAACAACTTAACGGAATCAATATGTGCATGCGATAGCGATACGATTTGTATTAAAGATCGCAACAATTTTCAGATTCCAACCAAATGCATGTCAAAATCAATCTAACAAAATCTGGTTCATACATTCGAATAAATTCTTGAACCGTGCAAACTGTATCACTGTCCTAACCAAACCTTTTTCCGTAAATAAGACGCCACGTGAGAGCAACAGCAAATCATAAGCTGGATTAAAGAACACCGCGTAATACAATCGAAGTGTATTAACTGCGATTTACTTTTCTTAATATATTTTTATTTGAATTTAATAGCAATTATAAAGCCAGTTGCCAATATAAATTGTTACGTTAGCATAAATCATGTTCTTAGGAAGAACTAAAGACTAATCAAACGAACATGTTTTAACCCTTTCGAATACCTCAGTATAAATAATTTCTGCTAACAACAACAACAACATTGTCGTATAGAGTGAAGAAGTCACCATGGGCCCTGTGAAAGAAACATGCTTCGCCTCTAGTCAAGTAGAGCACGCCCACAAGGAGTTTATTGCTTTCTATACTCGATTCAGTGAAATAAACTTAAAAGCACGCAATCCCCTCCTCTGGCAACTGGTTGTTTATTTTTAAAGAAATTGTTTCCCGGAGGGAGATAGGAAGACTGCAGATATGTTCTCTTAACCAAGTTTCACTAAAGGCGAATATATCGAGCAGAAAGTCAGAAAGTCTCATACACTGGGGCGAAAACCAACTTGCTTAACAAAATTTTTGCTGCCAATGGGCGCTAGGTTCGCTCCCCATCACATAGCAATCAAAACAGACGATAAAGCAAGATGGTCACACCTGTTATACAAAATTGAAAAAAAAAAATGGCATCGAGCAAGTTAAGAATAGAATATAAAGAAAAACGAATTGCGCAAGAATACTGCAACGACCGCTTCATTATAATACACGCTTATATATAAGATACGAATACCACAGTATGCCTACACTACTGACCAGTTACAATAAACTCGAAAAACGATAAAAGGTTTATAGCAACGATAAACAATGATTGACTGAACGATTAAAAGTTAGTAAATCTGTTCACAAGAGAGTATTTTGGGCACCCGCTTCTGCCGTCAGGGTCATGATGGGGAGGTCCTTATTGAGAGGCTTGAACTTGACAATTTTCCTGCTCTTCATTAGCTTTCTGCATAGAAAATTTAGTTTTAGGCACAGTGGGCTTAAATGTTCACCTAAGGATGTACATATGTAACTACATGTCATCACCAATGATATCCGATAACGCAACAGACCATAAGAACAAATATGTCTTTCGCAATGCTTCCGTGATCGCGACATCAATGTATTTGTCTAAGACGACGTTCGTCTTCTCCATCCTGACACAAAGGCTAACATCCATACCGCACAGGGCTACACCAAAGCAGAAGGCGATTTTATTAATGTATATCAATGAGGTAAGTGATTGCGCAGACAGGCCGATATAATAATACCCCAAAGTTTGTAATGCCTGGCAAGCCATTTCCAATGACTGATATTTCCTGACCCTGATTCGCCTTCTGTATTATTGATTGCACTTAGCGCATCGTACGTTACTTTCAACCTGTTCGATTTTCTGGTGCACCCCTTTGGGAAATTATTGCAATTTTTTTTGTAATCTTATGAAAAGACGCAAGATCCAAGTAGAAATAATTTAGCGAAACTATTTGCGAAATCAAGTTTCTAGTAAAAATTTCGCTCAAGATTACTATTTGCACACACTATTCGTCACTATTGACAGAGAGTTCATCGAAAGGTGTCGTGCGTTTTTGAAAAAAAGCCTATGTCCCCAAAGTGAAAATTCCTATACTTCAAAGGCTAATGGGCGGTAGCCATTGCACCAATCCTGCAAATTATCGCCGTGAGCTAATCCGTTCCGAGAATTCGATAGCAATCAAACGTATAGTTTCACCGATTGATTGATTTCGGTTTCAAGACACGCCGCAATTCCAGATCCTTGAAGTAGTTCGCTCTACAGTGGCCTCCAATTACCTCCCCTGCATAGAACATTGCTGTAAAATACCACAATACCACATGATTTTTACAGCGTAAATTTCTTCTTCTTTTTTTTTTAGCAAAGAGTCGCATAATATCCGACGAAACAAGAAAGTAGATTCACGGTGAAATATTATGGTATGGTATTTTGTACCGCTATTTTCATAATATTATAAATAGATGAAAATAATTTCGTCCATGCGTCCATGAGTTTTACTCAGTCAACTAGTATCGCGTTATTCGTTCTATATTTTCGGTTAAGTTGAGTTCTCAAATATTAGTTTTCAAATATTATTTTGTGAATAAATAAATGTACGTTCAATGAAGACTATTTTATTATTCAGAAGAAGGGCATGAGTGTCGTTTCAATTTTTAACACAACATTTTTAGATATTTTCTTTCACAAGTGAAAGCATTCAGGTTTTTTTTTTTCTTATTCTATTTTTTTTTTACGCTATTAATGCGCCATTCTCCGCATTCATCTTTATTTGCCATTAGATTTTCTGCAATGCTTCGGCTTTAGCGTTAACAGAGACATTTATTTAATTTCAATATCATGTTATATTGTCTATGTGAGTTCCTTCCTTTATTCATAATTCAAAGCAAACCACTTCAATTCATAATTTATGTTATTTTTTGTTACCACTTCTCACCACCATCTACTACTACGATCTGTGTATTCTACAAGAGCTGTAATATGTCCCACTGGTAATCCAGAAGTTTCCCCACATTCTTACCCTCTTCTCTGTATTCTTTCTCTTTTTCTCTTTTTTTTTTTTTTTGTTTTTCATATCTTTTTTTTTTTTTTGCATTCCGTACTATGTTTCTGTAAAATTTGTGTGTAACATTTTAATGGATTTCAAATCAAATTTCTACATCGATTGGTATGGCAAAAAGGTATTTCTTTAATACCCTTGAGAATCCATTTACATACACATTCCTACTAAAAGCTTTTCTTTATAATACTGAAAGTTATTTCTTTTTTGCATTCTTTGCTTTTTTTCGGTTTTCTTTTTTGTCTTACTGTTTTTGCTGGTGTTGTTTTCGTAGCAAAAAGCAGTTGCCACTTTATATATAAAAATAAAAAAATAATAAAAAAAATAGATGATAATAATAACACTAATAATAATAATAATAATAGAAGTAATAATTATAATAATAATAATTATAATAATAATATGATAATAATACAAAAAACAATAATTAAAATAAAATAATAATAAGAG